ATCGAGTGCACCCACAGCAAGTTTGCAGATGACACCAAGTCGGGAGGGAGGGTTGATCTGCTCAGGGGTAGGGAGGCTCTACAGAGGGATCTGGACAGGCTGGATCAATGAGCTGACACCAATTGTATGAAGTTGTTGTGGTTTAACCCCAGCCAGCAAGTAAGCACCACGCAGCCGCTCACTTGCTCCCCCTAGTGGTATGGGGGAGAAAATCGGGAAAAGGAGTAAAACTCATGGGTTCAGATAAGAATGGTTGAATAGAACAGAAAAGAAGAAGCTAATAATGAGAATGATAAAACTAATAAAATGACAACAGTAATAATAAAAGGATTGGAATGTACAAATGATGCACAATGCAATTGCTCACCACCCGCTGATCGACACCCAGTTAGTCCCTGAGCGGTGATCCCCCACCCCCACTCCCCCCAGTTTATACACTAGATGTGGCATCCCATGGTATGGAATACCCCGTTGGTCAATTTGGGTCAGCTGCCCTGGCTGTGTCCTGTGCCAACTTCTTGTGCCCCTCCAGCTTTCTCGCTGGCTGGGCATGAGAAGCTGAAAAATCCTTGACTTTAGTCTAAACACTACTTAGCAACAACTGAAACCATCAGTGTTACCAACATTCTTCACATACTGAACTCAAAACACAGCACCATACCAGCTACTAGGAAGAAAATTAACTCTATTCCAGCTGAAACCAGGACAGAGGTTCAGCAAGGCCAAGTGCCGGTTCCTGCACTTGGGTCACAGCAACCCCATGCAACGCTACAGGCTTGGGGAAGAGTGGCTGGAAAGTTGCCTGGCACAAGAAGACCTGGGCCTGCTGGTTGACAGCCAGCTGAATATGAGCCAGCAGTGTGCCCAGGTGGCCAAGAAGGCCAACGGCATCCTGGCCTGTATCAGAAATAGTGTGGCCAGCAGGTGCAGGGACGTGGTTTTTCCCCTGTACTTGGCACTGGTGAGGCCGCACCTCGAGTCCTGTGTTCAGTTTTGGGCCCCTCACTACAGGAAAGACATGGAGGTGCTGGAGCGTGTTCAGAGAAGGGCAACCAAGTTGGTGAGGGGCCTGGAGCACAAGTCTTATGAGGAGCAGCTGAGGGATCTGGGGCTGTTTAGTTTAGAGAAAAGGAGGCTGAGGGGAGACCTTATTGCTCTCTACAACTACCTGAAAGGAGGTTGCAGTGAGGTGGGTGCTGGTCTCTTCTGTCAGGTGGCTGGAGGTAGGATGAGAGGAAATGGCCTTAAGTTGCACCAGGGGAGGTTTAGATCAGATATTAGGAAAAATTTCTTTACTGAAAGGGTGGTCAGGCATTGGAACGGGCTGCCCAGGGAAGTGGTTGAGTCACCATCCCTGGAGGTATTCAAAAAATGCGTAGACAAGGTACTTCAGGACATGGTTTAGTGGGCATGGTTGATGGTTGGACCTGATGATCTTAAAGGTGTTTTCCAACCTAAACAATTCTATGATTCTATGTCCTGTATATAAATTGGGGGGAAAGCTGGCTGGGGACCGCTGCTCAGTAACTGACTGGGCATTGGTTAGCCAGTAGTGAGCAACTGCACTGTACATCACTTGTTTTGTATAATCTAATTATTTAATTATTTTTATTATTATTATTATTATTATTACCATTATTATTATTTTCTTCCTTTTCTGTTCTATTAAACTGTCTTTATCTCAATCCATGAATTTTACTTTTTTCCCAATTCTCTCTCCCATCCCACTGGATGGGGAGAGTGAGTGAGCAGCTTCATGGTGCTTACCTGCAGGCTGGGGTTAAACCACAAGAATCTGAAAAATGTGCCTTTTGTGACCACTATCTCCAGCTAATACACCAAGACTGGGCTGACAGAGATATAAATCACAACATAACCTAATTCTTTTGCTTCACTCCTCACTGCATGATTATTTTGCAGGAGGATACACAACCTCATCTCACCCCGAGATGAAATGAGCAAATGCCAGAGGAGCATTGGAAATTTTGTCTGACATTTGACGTACAGAACACACACAGCTGTTAAGAGGACATCATGTCATTCAAGTCTGGCTGACATATTACTAGGTTAAAACATATGTACTGGGTCCCGGCACAACATAAATTTAAATAGTGATTTGTCTGTTGCCATGTAAAGTCACTTTGTAATGACCTCTCCACTGGAAGAGGTATGGCCTTGGTGCAGCAGGTTGTCCCCAAGTATGTACCAGCCAACCTGCATTGCTGATCTGCAGCTGGTTACCAGCTCATGGCTACTTGCATGGGGAATTTAACTTTCCACTTTCTCCCTTTTCTTCCTCTCCTGCTCCCCAATGCTCCTGGCTGTGTGCCCCTGCCACTGATCTTCCTCCACCTGCGGAACCCTGTTAAAAACTTTGGTGAATAAACTCAGCTGAGATGTCCAGCTGTGTTAGTTTTCTAGTAGATTTTCAAATTGTGTCAGCTTATGGAGGAGTCTGATGAGAAGCAGAGCCAGATAAAAGCTGGCAATAGGAAGATGCAGAACGTAAGCACCCAAAGCAAGTAGCTTTGGAAACGTAGGAGTAGGGTACGGTAAGCTTGGAAAGGGAATTGTCCCCTTCTGCAACTCTAGGTTACTAAACTGCCTTGCCCCTTTTCCTGGAACTGCACCATTATGATGTAACATAACATCATGCTATACACTTAGCATGGGTGTAATGTTTCATATAAGTACTCTAGAGCACCTCGATATTCTGAGGGCAAAAGGATTAAAGGGAAGGCACAGAAGAAGATGACTGTGCTACAAGTTACAACAGTTTGTAGAAAGGAAGTTGGGTAACTCGTCTAACACAATAATGACAACTATTAAACTTTAGCTGTTTCAGAACTAGTAGACATTATATGAATGAATCCTCACCATTCTTCTGAGATTAAATAAATAAATCTGCCATTCCACAGGGAGACACACAGGGAGAAAAGACTGAAAATATTCAATTATTCAAATTTTTATTATTATTCAGTCCTTTTTTTTAAGCAAGTCCCATTGTTTTCATACTATTTGTATTCACTTTCTGCAGATTTCTGTTGGCACACAGGAATGATTATCAACAGGAATGACTGCCCTTTTCAGCAGATATAGCAGAAGGGAAGTTCTCAATTCATAATTCACATGGGGACCATGATTCAAAGAGCTGCTGTATTCATCCAGCCATGTAACAGAAATATATCATATCACCTATGGGGCCATAAAAACATGTTTGAGCACTGGACACCTGGAGGAATGCTTATAGCAAAGAGTGTGGGAGCAATTTATTGCCTGAAATAAGCTACTGCATTCATGAAGCAATTGACAACAAACAGCACGCTATTAGAACTGGGAATAATTCTAGCTATTTTTTCAGTTAGTAACAGAACTATGTTTGAACTACTCTGTAGACCTTATTCAGCTTATAAGAATGAAAGAATCCACAACCTTGCACAAACTTCAGAAATCATCTCACTCTTCGTATTCTGAGCCTTTATCCTTTTCTTATGGGCAGGAGCACACCATCCCTCTTATTTCATATTATGATTGTTAAACTTTTTCAAGTCACAAATGGCTTATAAACAGGTCTTTTCTGTAACTATGAGTGTGCGTGAATACAGGTGAAAGTTCCTGCGAGTCAGTGAGACGGTGGGAGGCTGAGCTCAAATGCATGACCTCACAAACCATGTTCTTTGTTGAAAAACTATCACTTGGTGTGACTTCTTTAGCTGAAAGTTGATCCTGGCATTTTGAGTATAATCTGCATTGTTAGTGATCAAACACTAAGGGACTTTCGTGACTTAATCGAACACATTACAGGTAAAATCTAAAGTGGAAGCTAGAAATCTTTCCTCCCAAACTTTTACTGCAACTATAACATCAGTCAGAAAAAAAATCAGAAGTTTGGGATGGTCTGTAAAACAACTTGAACTTTAACTCAAAACAGAAGATATTTCACACTCTGTTAGTGCTAAAAACCACTGAGGCTGCATAGGTTTTGGTACAGACATTTTGATATAGTTGTTATCCAACTATGCAGTGAGAAAAGCCACCTGACTGAAGTCTGAAATGTTCAAGACTTTCTGAAATGGCTCATCCAAAACAAAAGCATGCAGAACCTGCCAATTTTGTAGGGACAGCTAGGCCACTAGTATGCCTTCTATTGACATTCTTTGAGTAAGGCAGGGGATTTAGCTAACAAACTGTCTGACATCCCAAGAAATTGGAAATTTTTGAATGGCAATACTTGGCAATGGGCTTCTGTAAATGTAATTTTGAAATTAAAAGCCTAAAATTCATACTTGCCAAAGTCTTCAGGATTAAAGATTTAGTAATAACACTTTATTCCCCAGCTTGGCTGTAAATTGAGAATTAACTCTCTTCATGAGGTTTCTATATAGGGAAGGAAGCTCTGTGCATGGCTATATATATATGGAAAAAATGAGAATATCATGGCAATGACCACAGTTTAAATTATAAAACCCTTAAGACAAGGCATATGAGCTTATACTCGTTCATGTCACTTCTTAATAAGAACTTACACATATAAGTATTCTATTTCAGCAGGGAAAAAAAAATAGTTTAAACTATGAAAACAAACTTCCAGACAGGAGATTATAAATACAAACATCTACAAAACCTATTAGAAATTCACCACAGTGATGATAGGTTGAGAGCTTCAAGATTATCATCACAAAAAATATGACAGAATGAAAAGATTATCAGGAAATAATTGTCAGGCTTTATCAGCTATAAACAACTACTTACAGTCTTTCATCCTCTAGTGAGTTTACATCTCCTCTAAAATCTAAATAATGCTGCTGTACACGGGGTGCCATCATGACTTCAGGAGCCATAAGCAAGACTGCAGGTGGGGAACAACATCTCCAGCAGTCTCACGGTAGGATGGAGGAAACTATGTAAACCCCAAACCTCTCCTTGGTGTTAATAATGTAGAACATATAATTTCTGTGGAAAGATCAAATCATGCTGAGAAAAGCTTTTAAACAGAAACAATGGGGAAGACAGATGACAACCCAGAACCTAGTAAAGAGGTGATGGATGGGGTGGAAAATAAAGGCTTCCGGGCAATTGGAGCAAAAGAGACCTCAGGAACAGTACTGCAGGGTGGCAGGGCTCCCACCCCAGAGTAGGCACACAGCTGCACACAGATGGGGAAACAAAACCACAGTGACTAAGATGTGGTGGTACAGCTCACATAACTGGGGTAAGCAGTGGACAGGTAAAAACCCTTCGGTACAAGTGAACAGGGAAGAGGAGGACGAGGCGGTCCTCAGTGTGACGGTACAGCTCAGACACTTGGGGCTCCTCTATGGAGGCAGATGAGCCTGGCCAAACAGGGAATGCCTTTTGGCCCTTTGTCTCAGTATTCATTAACAAGGTCTATGTGCTTAAGGATGGGATTCAAGAACAAGGAGAATGACCTGGGGAGGATAAGTCAGGGATTAATTGTGAGCTCTCAACAAGTTCATGGGCTGCACCCAGCTGTGCTGAGAAAGCTGGCTGATGTGCTTGCAAGGCCGCTCTCCAACAAGAAAGGTCTTGGGGATCGGGGGAGATCTCTGACAATAGGGAGAAAGCAAATGATGCATCTATCTTCAATAAAAGCCGAAAGGATCATCCTGGTAACTACAAGCCTTACTTTGGTCCCTGGTCATAGAGTGGGTCCTCTCGGGGCACATTTCTGAACACAAGAGAGAAGAAGGTGATGGGGAACTGACGGTGTGGTTTGACCAAGGGTGAATCATACCCACATCAGCTGGTCACTTCCTGTGCTAAAATGACAAGATTTATGGACAAGTGGAGAACAGGGGATGTCATTTACCTCAAATTTAGCAAGGCTTTCAACACTTCTTCCACAATTTCCTTGTAGCCAAGCTGGATGTTAAAGTCTGGGTGGATGCCTCACCCAGTGGGTAAATACCTGGTTGGACAGCTGGGCACAGGGGTGTCGGCCACTGGGTTGTATCTGCCTGGAGGCTGGTGCTCCATGGGGTTCCACAAGGTCTGCCCTGGGGCCTGTCCTGTTTAACATCTCTGTCTGTGATCTGAGGAGGACACCAAGTGCACCCTGTCAGATTTGCAGGTGACACCAAACTGGGGCAGTGGATAAGTCAATATGCATGAGGGCAGGGCTGCTGTCCAGCTGGTGGGAAGAAGTGGCTAATGGGGCCCTCATGCAATTGGGGCAGGAGCAAAGGGAAGTCCTGTTCTAGGCAGGCAGAGGGTTTCCAGCTGCCATGGAATAAAGCCCTGAGCAACATGGTCTGACCCATAGCTGAGCCTGGTCTGGGCAGAAGGTTGAACTAGAGACCTCCTGAGGTTCCTGTTATCCTGAATTGTCCTGTGGTGCTACAATCCATAAAGCACAGTAGTAATTTTGAATACATACTATTCATGCCTTCTGATTTACCCTGCCTCTGTCTTGGGCCAAATAAAAAACTGTCTCTAGCAATGTGATATAAAGGATGAAGGATAGCAAAGCAACTGGATGAAAGAATCAGGAAGCTAATATTTTTTTAAAAAGACAAATTGAATGTAATTGGAACTAGAGGAGCGATACTGTAGTGTCACAAGCAGCTGCTCAAGACAGAATGGGAGGTGAAGGGCAGTAAAAGTTGCCAGCTCTAAACTGGCACTAGACTAACTTATGTTTCCCTCTGAAGGATGGCAACCAGAAGGTGAGCTGCTGCTTGATGAGTTGTTGCCTTTGACTATGCCAGTCAAAATTCATTTTGAGGATGTAAAAGAAACTAAGAAAGAAGAGTTGTGTTCACTTTCTCACCCTACATTTCTCTTCTTGATCTTAACAATTGAAGAACTTACTTAAACTTTTACTCACAAAAATAAACTAAAATTCTTTCTAAATTACAGCTTGTCTGTTGTTAAAACAGAAGATAAAGCTGGCAGTATGGGGACACTGTTTCTTCAAAGCCACATCAGCTGAGGAGAAGTGAGCAGGCTATCTGCCATTTAGGAGGAGTTTGGGAGTTCATGAGTCAAACTGTGTCTTGGCATGACCTCTCAGCAGGATCACCTCTTGGGAGCAGATTAGTAACTTTCTGGCAGGAACAGCAGTAACATAGATCATTACTCCAGGCAAAACCTCAAATTATTGCAGCATTGTACACACCAATCCCTGGCATAAAGCCAAAACAATGTGTTTAATACTATAGAAATAAAACTACAAAAGCATTAATGACACCCTTTCTCAGTGCAACCTGTTGTGAATTGTCAATATAGTTTGTCATTGTGCTTGCTGTATCTAAAATACTTGCCTATTGACCCCAGGCCAGGAATTACTGGGACAAATATAAAGTATTTGGATTTGCACTCTGGCTATACTTTATGTCCAAAGTGAAATCTCCAGGTCTGAAAACACAGAATTTGTCTGTTCTGCTTGAATTTACACATTGTGTTTTCTAGTGTGAAGCTGGAAGACAATTTTCTTTTTTAGGGATGTTTCATAATGGATTCTTTTATGCTCTACCTTATAACTGGTCATGAAGTGATTAATGTGTACTGCACATGCTGTGAACTGAATCCCAGTTCACTGCTCCAACAAATTATAATATTGGCAATCCAATTATTATTATTCAAAGAGTAAGAGATTAGAAAATACATTTTCAATATAAAACCATTAGAAAAACACTCTCTGTATGAATGTAAATTTTGCTTTTAGTATCAGCCCCACAAATTTGTATATTCATTTCCAATATTTGTTGTAATGCAATATTTGATGGCAGCAAAAGAACTAAGTGCAGTAACACAATTTTCCCCATGAAGGGGCCCTCTCATAGGTGTTGAGCCTTTCTGAGGGACAATTTTAAACTATAGCCTTTATTTATTACTTGTGAACGAAGTTGTAAGTTACTCAAACAAATGGGAGTCTGAAAGAAAGAAATGAACATACTGACATCCAGTGAACTCTTCTATGGAGCTGATACTACAGACTGCAAAGTTCAGAGTGAGATGGCTTGGGACTCCAGGCTTCTGTTAGGATACAGGCTCTTCTGACTAATGGCTAGCAAAGCCCACGCAGTTCTCACAATGCCAAGGATGCTCCTTTCAGCTCTAGTGAAAATCTAAAAAGGAGAAGGAAGAGAAAGAATAGTAGCCAAACATAACTGCATGATAATACCAAGCACTGTCTTACAGATTGTCAAGGCCCTTTTACATGAGGTAAATGTGGCTTTTGTCTAAAATCTTCAGGTTCAGTTTAGAAAGACAAGATGACATTGATTCAGATCCAAAGAAAAATAAAGTTCTAAGTCTGACTTACATATAATCAACTATTTGAAACCTTCAGAATAATCTAACTGAAAAATTTCTTAAACAGAAGACATTTCTAATTTACCAGTAGGAATAAGTTCCAAAGAAAAAGAGCTGTAGTTAAAGAACAAGCAGCATTCAGTAAGTTAACAGGGTGCATCCACCTGCCATTTACAACATCCTAGTGCAATTTTCCATAAAGAATATAATCCAGGACATTCCTTATCTCACTTATTATTACTATTTTATGGTATTACCTTTCGTGTTTTTTAGTAAAACAAGTTACAGTTAATTTGCTGTCACAATGCTGTCATAATTTGCTGAACAATGACAATTTCAGTTCTGGACCATTTAATGTTAAACACATAGATTATTTTGGAAACTAACCAAAACAATGATCCTGATCTTCCAAATGCAGCAAACTTCTTTAATATGTGCTTAGTTATAAGCATGTCTGTGAACCTATAAGCAAGATATAAGCATGTGTTTTATTGGACCACAGCATGAGTTTTACAGGAAATCAACCTGAGATCCTGCTTCCCTAAAAATGACATGTGGGGAAAAGGAAAAGAACCCAGGGGGGAAAATTAATATAAACTCTTGGAAGCATTAAAACACCTAAATTCTGATATGGAAAAGATGTTAATGAACTTGAATGAGCCAACCCTGCCACTTAGGACTTCAGCAAACTGTGACATGTTAACAATGAGAAGAAGGTAATTTGTAATTCTGTGTCATAGGAACAAAAGGAATGAGTATACAATGGAAAAGCTGGGCATATCTTTCATACACAGAACCAAAGAACAGATAGACCACAGAAAGTTAAAGGGTATACCTGAAGACTAAGAAGGATTGCAATGGCAAGAGATAAGTTTTAAAACCTGAGTTACTCTACTAAAGCTAGTAATAACCAATAACAGTTTTTGCCAGAATCTGTTCATTGTTAAACAAATGGAGAAAAAAAAGTAAGATTAAATGTAGGCTAAGGAATTCTGAGCACTTGTAGCTCTTTAAGCAAAAATGACATCTAGAAGCAGAGGAAACCCATTACAAGGAAAACCCTAAACTGAAATCCAAATTCAAACACAAACCTCAAGGATAATCTTTCAGAAATATTTTCACACTGAATTCACACTTGTCAGTTGCAACACAGCATTCAGGCATTTTTTTCTCTCCAACCTTCTCTAATTCAATACTAATGTACCTCTTCTTCCAGCCAGCTCTACTGCATTGAAATATCCTGAATATAATAAGATCTATAGATTTTTTGACATGCTATGGAAACGCATTAACAAATTGAGTGACTAAGCTTCTGTAAACAAATGTGTTGAAGATACTTAACTGTATACTAAGAAGTAACAAAGCAGCTTTGCTTGCATTTTTTTGTCCACCAAGTAATAAACCCCTTTGCTCTCTCACAGTCTCTACACAGTTAATGCTGGTTTGGGCTGACAGATTGGGCACAAGATTGCAATTTGAAATACGCCTCAGAGGGCATCCAAACAGAGGTGAAAGAGTGACAGAAGTGCAGCTGGTTTTCATGTCTACAGAGCTCTGTTCAGTGGAGGGTCAGGCAAGACCAGACTGCTCAAAGATGGATTACTACTTGTTTGTAACAAAGTATAAACATTTACCTGCATAAATATATAACTTTGCATAACATTCCAGATACTTCCTGGTTTTGCAGTTATATTTGCAAAAGCAGACAACAACAAAAAAATTGAACTACCCCCCACCCATAAAAAAAACCCCACTGAAATACTACAAAACAGTGTAATATCTCATACAAATGGAATCAAACCTTTAAATTCTATTCCTGGTCCAGTATCTGGTTCAGTATAGGGGGAAAAAAAAAAA